TATATTATTTGAGTTTTGTTTGGGACTCAGATTTCTAACCAAACTTGGATATACTAGAGGAGTTTGATGTGTATTCAAGTTATGTTTTTCTTTGCTACTGATATGGTAATTTTGGCATAGGCAATGGTAAAAGGTCCTTTTCCAATTGCATATCTTTAAATCACGGAAACAAATCCATCTGAAACCAAGAGCTGAAAAAAAGGAAGCAAGGTCCAAAAGACTTCCACGAGACATAACCCAAATAAGGGAACAAAAACCTACAATTAGAATCCCAAACCAACTCTAAATCTATAAATAAATAAGGTAGACACTACTCTGAAGAATCACCTCTTCTTAATAAGCGAGATTTGGGATCACAACTATAATATCCTCAAGTAAAAAAACATTGTTTGATTTGAGAGAGAAGCAAGGGAAACATTTGGACAGTCATTCTTGGAAACTCAAGTGGTGCAAAATAAATAGATGTACCGTCTACGAATCAATGGGACACATGTTAATTTTCTTACTGTATTCAAAACCATCTCATCTTGCTACCTATTAGCAACAAGCAACCTATTAGCAACAAGCAGTACATGGTTTTTCATAGAGGTCGCAATCAAAATGACAAGAATGTTCGGAAACAAAGAGACCAAGACCCCTCCCTTCAGCCGAGATACCACTGAATGGGCTTACATGTTCTGGATGAACATCTCCTAGTTCCCACTTCCTCGAGCTCATTATGCTCATTCACACTTTCTTGAATGCCTCCTTGTTGACACTCATTAGTCTTTGGTCGCTTTTCATGATTAGTATCATAAGCTTCTTCTTTGGGCATCAAGTCTACTATAGTCTCGTTAGCATCATCTTCAGTGGAAAATCAAGTATCCCGTAGTATCATCGAAAACTCTTGTAACGTAGTTTTGCAACATTGGGCTTGATCATGTTTATAAACCATATGTAGACAGTGTCATGTTTGGCCTTGAGTCTTTCTTCTGGCGACTCCACATGCTTTTTGGTTTTTATCACCGCTTTCACCATGTGCAAACAATGTGCAAGTAAAATAGATCCTTCTGTAGCAATGAAACAAAAACCACATGTTAATTAATTGCTATTACTAACCGGAGAAATGCTCATTGATATGCAAACTTACGTAAATAGTCGTATTAGTTATATTAGCAAAGGCAAGTTCCAAATAGAGACGGATCCAACTATGGTCTTGCAAACTCAGAATTCTTGACCACGTAGAACCGTTCGGTATCATTGAAGCATCCTCTAAAGACAACCACTCAGGCAAGCTACCGTGGTATAAATGCAAAGTAGATTGGTTTCTTGTTGATGATATCTTGGTGTCCACTATGCAAACATTGAGTAATCAGCCAGTGTGTGCGATGACTCACTCATAAAAAAATAATAACACACCGCATAAGTCAAGAGTCATATTCAAATTTATCTTTAGGTCGAGCAATAGTACACGTCACATTTAAAGGGTGAATACGCTCTTCATAAACTTTAACCTGAAAACCCACCTTCTCGCGGGTAGCTGGATCATATGCATCGAAAGTTATGCAGAAATAGGATGAAGTGTTACGAAGCCTGTTGTATCTCTTAATGCCCGTGAGATCCAAGTTTTCCCCCAACAACATATTGTAACAATGAAGCCCCAGCCGAGCATAAAGCTTGACATTGGCATTATAACATCTAAGGCTACATTCTTCCAATGGAACGACACCCTTTGGGGCCTTCAGTCCCGCGATGTCGAACCCCTAAGAGTCATTACCAAATATATAATCATAACGTCGACGAATCAAACTTTATAAAATAAGATACTTTAACTTGTATAATATTTTATTATCCGTAAAAAAAACCAAACAAAAATGGAAAATATATTAAATCATCTCATATTAGTGATGATATCTATGTTGTAAACAATAATATTTTACTATCGAAAAAGATAGTAATAATTGTTTTTCTGATAAAAAACCAAAACAATTTTTATAGAAGAGGTTATTGAAATTAAAAATTGCTTGGTGAGAAGATGGAGAGAACACAAAAGTGTTTAAATAAATATGAAAAATTATAATCTTTGAAGATTTGGGTATGCATACCTAAATATATTTAAACTCAAGATTTTTACATGTATATTATAGTATATATTCCAATGAGAAAAGGTAATTGATTTGTTGTCTTATCTATTTCTATTTAAAATGAAAAAATCTAGTTGATAAATATAAATATGTAAGTTTTTATTTAAAATAAATTGTCTGAAATGTAGCAAAATCTAATTGGAATTA